TTGTCACTTTGATTAGTGATTTCACTCTTGCGTTCAAATATGCAAAATATTTCATATCCCAAACAAAGGATTTCTACTAAAGCCCTCCATAAACTCACTTCACAAGCTGTTACTGTAATTTCTCCAGACTGCAAGAGCCAAAGCTGGGAGGACAGAGAGGGCAACACTACTTTTTATGGGGGAAAAGAAAAGATACTTGTATTTCCAGATGTCATACAACCCTTTCAAATGTAGTGAAAGATGCTATGACAGCAGTTTTTATAACCCTTGGCTTCAGAATCACATCAAAATTATGTTTTATCTGAGATCAAAAGAATGAGCTTTTTTATCAGCATGATGATGTTAAGATCTTTTATCTGCCCAGATTAATAACAATGTAAATCAGGCAGCTACAGAGCACAAAATATCACTGTTCTGTCCTCAGGTTTTATCTGTAGTTTACTAGCCTCTAAACTATTAACTGTATGAAGGAAGAGAATGAATACGGTGTTTATGTATGTTCTGGATTAGAGCTTAATAAAAATGAATGTATACAACTTTTAAAGTTGGAATTCAAGATAATTTTGAGGTTTTGTCTCATAAGACTCAAAATGATTTTGGTAATGTTACTCTAAAATCTTTGCCGTGAACCTGAAATCTGAATTGAAGTATTTATTTCTCACGAACATTAAAATGAAGATGCAAGTGAGAGCAATAGATGCATAAGCCATCTATTTTGCACATAATTTACTGCAGATTCTTAGCATTGCTGAAGCAATGATCTCACTATTAGTAATTGGTTTGGGTGGACCTCATTTAATTGGATTTCAGCAAAGCAATTGAGATGGTGCCATATAGGGAATTATTAGTAAAAGGGTCTGGCTGAAGCAGAGACAAAAGGTGCTGAAAGAGGAAGAATGAGGGTAGAAGGAGTTTATAAGTACAGTCCCTCAGGCATCATTCTTAGTCTTAACTAAATACATTTACTGGTAACATTTGCACAAGATGAAGAAGCATATCAATAAAATTTGCTGATGAGACAAAGCTGGGAGGCATCTTGGCTGTGAGGGAGGAGTAGAATATCTTACAGGAAGAATGGTGGGAGCCAACTATTGAAGAAAAACCCTAAAGATATTTCATTGCCCAAACCACAAGATCAGGCACTTCGAAGGGGAGCGTGTTTCGCGAATGGCCTTTGGTGGAAATGAGAGCCAGGAGGTCTGTTGTTACAATGAGGATTAGTAAGTGTGAATTGCTCATGTGGGTGTCTGCCCAGGCCCTCCACTGTCTCTGCAATACCTGCAAGAGTGGGTCCAGTTAAGGCATTTAAGCTCATTTGAAGTAACCTTTATTTCAGGGAAAATATGTTTCAAAGCTATCCACGTATTCGAAACGTTCCCACTGGCATAAGCGGTTGTTTTTCCCCCACCTACATTTTCTGGGGAAGTCTTCCTTGCCCTTTCGTTGCCCACAGCAGTCCTTCCAAAGAGCTGGCTGGAGAAGTGCTCCCACGCAGCTGGTGGCATTTCAGCTGCATGGCAGAGCCCTTTGCACACCCCAAACACAATAGCAGACTTGGTTGAGTTTAGGATTAAGCCCAATATGACATTTTCTTCCACCCTACGCCTTCTTTGCTGACTGAAGGTTTTATAACACCATGCAGGCCAGAAAGCCCCTGTTGTTGCACCTTCCTCACGGAGGCATGCATCTGCTTTGGTAAAGCCTTTCACCAGAGAAGTTAGCAACCGGCACTTACAGAAAAATTGCGACTGGACTTGTGGAGCCATCCTCAAGACAGAGACTTTATGCTTGTGTGTCTTTCTGGAAAGCATAGACACTAAAAGCATGCCGTTCACTTGCACAAACCATTGCAAAGGCAGCCCATGTGCTCCACTCGGAAGGAATAAGATCACAGTAAAGTCAGATTCCCAGCAGGCCTCTGTAACTCAGGCAAAACATGTGTTGACAAGCAAAAGAATTTTGTTGGATAGCGTTTATGAGCTACACAATCAACTTCCAAGCGGGGAAGTTCCATTGCGCTCACTGTGGGGACCAGAGCAAGACCGCAATCAATGCCATAGGAAAAGTTAACTGAAGTGGGGGCTGATCAGCAGTTCACTAAGGAAAAGCTTTTTATAGCAATTCACAGACACTGAAGCTTTGTTGAAACATCCTGATTTCAAACAAGTTTTTATCAGAAAGGTTTCTTTCATCCAGGAGGAAATTTTCGGTCAAAACCAGAGCAAGTGCCACCTACCTGTCCCAGAATGACCAGAACAGCCAGTCACAATTTCATGAACACATTCCTTGTATCAGAGTTGGCCAGGCTTGTCAGAAGACGACTCTCTCCTCGCCAAACCAGCGGGAACAGTGATTTCCAAAACAGAAATAAGTGAAAATGAGCAAAAATGAGCAAATGTCAGTTAACATGTATCAGTTATTTTCATTATATGGGCTATTTAAATGGAATATTTTATACCATGGCCATTTGCTTGGTGAAGTAATAAAAGCGTTTAACTTCTCGTGTATCTCTACCGACTTGTAGAGCCATCTTTTAAATGTAATTTATTGTCAAAAAATAAACACCATCCATAAAATGCTTCCAAAAGAATATTGATTGTCTCCCTTTGAGCCACAGTCAATTGACTGCTATTAGAGATCCTTGTATGAAAAACAGTGTGAGTGTGCTTCATGACTCAGCCAATTCCCATTTAGTTCAACAGCAAGCTATGTGGATGCACAAAGCATCACTGATAATTTTATCTTGGGAATAATCAGTGTAGATAATCGTGTTTAGGGTGTGCTGTTTCTATCCTAATTCAATTTACCTAAATGAGCACACACTACCTTTAACAGCAGACACAAAACACATGCAACCTACGAGTCACCACGTGAGACAGGAAAGATCGTCTTCTGGATAAAGCAAATAATTTAGAAGGAGAAGATCAGGTCCCTAATCCTCCTTTCTCTCACACACACAATTTTCCTGTATAGGTATAGACAAGTCACAGTCTAAACTCTTCATATGCGGGTGCCACATACAGGCCTCAGATGTGGCATTTAAGCCCTCATTTTAAGAGGCTTAATCTACTTCAGTTCGTAACTTGTTCTTTTGTACCTAGTGGAACAGGGAATCGAAATGAACAGTATTATTCATAAGAACACTACACACATGCATATCCATGTATGTGCATTCATATACAGTGACCAATTCGCTACTTAAAACTGTCCTTTTGGAATACATCATATTGCTATTTCACTCTTCTTTGTTGCTCTGCTCTGTCCACCCCTCCTTTTCACTCCAGAAAAGCAGAAAAGTTTTTACCCACCCATCATACTTTATCCATTCTTTGAAAGCTTCTCTTCTAAAGGACTTTGCGTATTGCATTGGCACTCTACCAAAACCGGCTAACAAATGGCAGATTAAGTGGCAACACGGAAAAGAATTTCAAGCATGTATTATACTTGCTTGGAGTTCAGCGTGCAACTTCAGGATGAGAGCTGCCCTCTAAACAGCCAGGCCTGGGAATTCAGTTGCAAAGCAATTACAGATGCAAGGAAAATACCTTTCCTCTGAGAAAGAGACTTGCTGATATTCTGCAGCCTTCAGTGAATTAAGTTCAATGTGCGTTCTGGAAGAGCTCACAATGTCCCGTGCTTTCTCGATACTTCAGCTTCCATTTCCAGTGCTGTACTCTGTAGTTATATCTTATCTTATGGATTTATCTTATGTCAGCCTTTTAAAGATGGAGTAACAGAAGATTATCATCTATTTACAGCCACAACAGCCATCCACCCTCTGCTCTGCATTAAGATACAAGAATAATGACGTGCTTGGTTAAAATCTGCAGGTTATCGGGAGCCGTGATCAGTTGGACAATGAAATTTCTAGTCTTTAAAGAATTTAGTTACTCGTGTTTTCTTGAGGAACTATTTTTGCTGTGTGACTAACTCTCTCATGTTTTAAAGGCCTGGTTTTAAAAGTCATGTTTACAGCATCGAAATAAGCATACTCAGGAGAGCATAACTTCCAGAACTGTTCAGCAACGGCCTAACCCTGCTACCATGAATACACTGGCAACATTCCCACCAACTCAGACGGGCACAGGCAGAACGATGCTGAGCTTTAGCAAAAATCCTACACGTTATTTGATATTTTCTTTTCTTTCTAATAAACAGTCTGGAATGTTTGCATATGATAGATGGATATGTAATATAATAGAAATATATATACAGTATACTATATATAGTATACATAATGTGTATATATATGATATATAGTATACAATATAGTATAGAGTAGAAAAAGAGGGAGATGCTGCTTCCATATTACTGTAAGCTTGCTGCATACTTTTTTTTAAACTAGCTCACATTATGCTAACTCATTTGCCTTCTGCTCAGTTCCACTCTGCCAATCTTGACAGTCTCTCCCTAAGTCATCTTCAGAGGAAGAAAGAGCTCAGCCTATGGTCTGACTAAGTACTTGAAAATATATGCCAGTGGATGGGAAACATGTCCAGCAAACCAGAACTGATGTTCTTAAGCCCACATGAAGTAGGATGTATATCCTGAGATGAGGAAAGGCGTACGGGTAGCAATCCCTAAGTCAAAGAGCAGAACATCTCTGCACTCCAGTGTCCCTCTGAAAACTGGGGGTGTCAATGTTGGCTTCAGAGGAACTGCATCTATTGAAAGAAAAGGAAGATGGATCTGATTTATGTCCTTATACTGACTGGTTCAAATTCCCCCATAGTTTAGCTATCCTAAAGTTAAGCAAAAAAAAAAAAAAAAAAGTGACTGAAATCTAAAGGCTATTTTCAGTTTTAATTAATCTGAGCCCATGACTGGTTTTGCAATGGCAACACTCATAAAAAAGCTAAACGATGACTACTGACCAAACACATATAGTACAGAAAAAAAATTACCAATGTAATGGATGTGGACACAAGAAAGAGGAAGGGAAATAAATAGGGAAACACCATTGAGAATGTTGATATCTCTGTGCTGTATTTGAATGTCTTCACAAATAAGTAATTGTGAAATGCGATTGAAAGTACAACCCAAGTATAGTACAAATACAGGAATGTCTGCATTGGAATTCCATAACTTTTCTTTATTTGCTGTGATACATTCAAACAAAAGTGCTCCAGGTAACAGCCGTAAGAATAAAGGAAATCTAAAATAAAAAGGCGGAAGACCACCATCAGATACATACGGTGATTATTCATATTTCAGAGCATTAGTAACTGCTTGTATCCAAGTGCACCAAAAACCCACATGGAAATCCACATGGAACATGGAAGCATGGACCCACCCAGGGTCCATGTTTTTGTATGCTGCACCTATAAAAATAATAATCATAGGCAGCTCTAGCACAAACGGCCTTCAGAACTAGAGCCAAAGCCGTTACAAAGATAAAGCACCATCAGGCATATGTTTACAAATGCCACAGAATAGTAGAGTGAAGGAAAGGCTTAACTGAACTAACATTTTCCTCATACAGCACAGGGCAACTCTGACTAGACTCATTCCTTCCCAGCTCTGCCATTTCACACAAGGGGCTTGTGTTTGCCCCACCACATCGGTGCCAAGTGCAGCTTGGTGAGCTTCAGGAGACAGTGAGAGATGGAGGGAAGAAAAACTGGAACTGGAGCCAGGGTCTATCCCCTTATTAAAAAAAAGTGCTGTCATGGCAGCATTTACTTAACCATGTTACTGCAATACAGTGGCACAATCCACCTGAGAAACACTGTACAGACCACATTGACTTCCCAGCACTGTTCGCTGACCTACAAATACGGCTGGGCTGATTTTGTACTGTGCCTCTTGTTTTGAACTACTATAGTAAAATAAGCCACTTATGTCGACAGGAGACAGAAGGGCATCATTTCATCACTAACTGGGATTACATCCTATAATCTGGCTCTATTCCAGCCGCAGAATCACTGAGCTGTGACAAGAACTACAGGTGACTCAAAAATGTGATGGGAATAGGGGGAACCTTGCCCCAAACAACACAGGAAACAGAAGCCAAGATGCTGTAAAAATTATCTTTGAAAGGGATTTGATGGAAAGACACTCATAAATCTGCGGTTACTCTGCCTCGTGTATTTGTGAGTAAAACAGCACAGATCTTCAATAAAAAGGGGAGGGGCAATAAAACCTTGGTCCTCCTTTCTCCTTTATCTGCTTTACAACCAGCAATTCAGACGGTCAGCAAGACCAAACAGGCCTCCTCTCCAAAGAGTCTGAGTTGATGACAAGAGATCTTCCTTAAAAGATCACAAGTCACAACAGGAGACAAGCCTCTGTCCCTATATGCTTCCTATAGTAGTGTATTCATAGGGATCCTGCTAGGTGTAAGGCTATGCCCCAGCTGCTGTGAAGCATTTAAGTCGATGTATAATTTGTGTTTATCAAAGCAGGATGCAATGGCACTGTTCCTATGACCAACATCAAGGTCTGTTTGCTCAAAAAGCATTTTTTTTTTTTAACTATTACTAATAACGTCTCAAATCACACAAGCTGAGAAGTTTATAAATCTTATGTAGTTATTTACCCTCCATGCTATTTGTGTGGCATTTAACTCCCACAGTGCATGCCTTGCCCTTTTCACACTCCCTTACTCATGCAAGAACACAAAGCTCTAATGTTTGGGTTGCAAACACCATTAAATGCCCCTCTGCAGCCCCCAACAGCATAGAAATATTTTCTTTTAAAAGTTCAGATCAAAGCATTTCTACTAATCCTAGGATTTATTAAAACAAACATTGTAGGCATGAGATAGTCAACAGCGTCCCTTTTATAAGATTCTTTGGAGATAGTTCCGATTTTGCACTGTTTACTGACCCACCCCTAATTATTTTTCAGTTGCTCAGCTGCAAAGTCAGCAAGTCCACCTGCTCCTTCCCCACCCAGAAGATGTTCCTCTCTCCCCGAACAGTTTTTAGTTGTAACGACTGCACCACGCAACCACTGTTGTGAGAAGAAGGTGGCTTGCTTGCAAAGCTATAGATCACATCCCGGTGTTGCAAAAATCATGTCACGCACATCTGCGGCAGAAGTCTAGCCTTTCCTCAGAGGAGTAATTAAAACCAGTCATTAAGTGCTTTCAAGGAGTTTCATCACCTTTATCCTTCCCTGCAGTCAAGGTAGTTGCCTTTGATCCAGTAACATATCTGTGCATATTTGAGGGGTGTGATGCGAACAGCTACATTGAAATCCTGTGGGGTGCCATTCATGTCCACCCACTGATGGCCTGAAAATATTCCAATAATTTTACGCTCCCATTTGTGATTCTGCCTCTTCCACATCCTCACATACACCCCAGATCCACTTGCACCTGGCTGGGCATCACACTGCTGATAGAGTAGGTCATATGTTTCATCTTTGACATCACAGAAACGGTAAACCAGGTTTCCCGGTCTATCATTGTCATATCCAGAGAAGTGAATCCTCCCTCCGGGTAAGTGTCTTGCTGGTGGGCTCACACCTATCTTCATAAATTTTCTTTTATGAGGCTTCTTGAGCTCCAGCAGGGCATAGTCATAATCCATGCCAATATCATTGGCATTTCCTTTGATCCATCCTTTGGGAACATGTGTTCGTTTCACTCTGATCCACTGGAATTTCATTTTCTCAGGCATTGCCGAGCTGGTAATATTAGCCCCTTTGCTGCCATCTTTCAGTTTGGGCTTCAGGAACCCCACCCGCAGTTTCTGAGCTCCTTTGACATAACTCTTGCCATCATGGATACAATGAGCAGCAGTAAGAACATGTTTTTCAGCCACTAGTGTCCCCGTGCAACCGGTAGACAACTTCACTGACGTGGAGAAGGGGTAATTCAACAAGAAGTCCTTCCCAAAAATACTAAACCTGCTGTCATATCCATAGATCTGCCTCTTAGTTCGAGATTTGCCTTGCGACCCACCACCGCTGTTGCTCAGAATATATATGCCCACTTCAGTTTCAGTGAGGCTACCATTAGCATACAAGGTTTCATAGGACAAGTAGTTCTTCACTTCTTCATAAGTTGGCAGTGGGGAACTTTTGTGGCATGCTGGGCCACAAGGAGATACCACTTCCAGTTTGGTCTCCGCATCAAACCGTGGTTTGTCCAAGTTAAGGGTAGACTGTGGCAGGATAACTGGAACTCTGTAAGATGGCCAGGTTGGCTTCCAGTGAGAACTGGAGGGCATCACATCTTTAGCAGCACACAGCAGGAGGATTAAAGCAGACAAGCCTGCCATTCTGAATGCCAGTCTGTGGAAAGCAAAAGAAAGTTCAGTTACTCATCCACATACGTTGCAAAACTAATCTACACTGCTAAACAATGATGTCCTAACCAAACATAATTTTTAAGTGTTGCCTTTAAGTTTCTTCTCATTGAAGTCAGGGACTGCAAAGTTTGGTGTCCATGGAAGGAGCAAATCTCTATAATGCATCACTGTTACATAAAATCATGCTGGTCCCTGGAGATGCATATGTTTTAGGGCTGTTAGTAGGTTATATCAATAGGTTGGTTTCTTGTTTTTAGAAGAGTTTACTCTATGGACTTAGTTAAGTTCTATATTCAGGACATCCCGGCTTATATGGCACGTTGCCTCACAAAACTGGTCCTGCTCTGCAAGTCCCGTAACAAGGGTCAAGCAATTTAAATGGACTCAGATATTCTAAGTTCCTCAGGCTTCTCAGTACTAAATTAATGCCTTAACCCTTTTCTTGAAACAAGTGTCCCAGATTAAAACTTGAAACACAGGCACGTTTAACCCTTAGGCGTACAGAGCGTCAACTCCCTATTAACATAATGGGAATTTGTCTTCACGTAGCATAAAGAAAATTTATTCTGTGTGTAAATTTCTGCATTCAAAAGCCATAACTTCTGCAAAGAATTAATCTCTTTAGCTAGAGCACAGCATTCTCTGGAAGCTCCCACTTACTCTCTGACTCCACTCAGTAAGATCTTCAAGCAAGGTCCTTAATTCACTGTATGCAGTTTGCTGTCTTAGCCAAAGACATTAAGCTGACGAGAAGAATAGGTAGGTGGAAAAAGAAGGTAACCTAAACATGAACAGGTTTTTAAAACGTTACTGCAAGGGACACTTGCTTCCCCTTGCAACTCCTGCAACTCCCCCTGCAACTCCTACTCCTGGAAGGTTTATGTTCCATGTAACATTCGCTCTCTTGTTAAGATTCCAAAAGAGCAGTTAATGAAGCAAGTTTACAGTTCTTGAGGGAATTTCCAGTTAACACACTGACTTATTCCTTCATAAACTCAATTAATTAGAAATGCAAACCAACCCCCTCTGAGCACGAGGAGGCAAATGGGACTGTAAATGTGTTTATGAACCGCAGGCGGAGTGCCTCAGTCTGCAGAGAACAGCGTGCACTAGTATTGTGTCAAGAAAATGTGTAACTTTAGTTTACTTGAAAATTAGCCATACAGCTGAATCGCTGCAGGAGGCATTGTGCTCTGGGCAAGAAGGCAGGCAGGATCTCCCTCATACAAAGATTATTCAAACAAAACTTCACAATTATGTTGAGCTTACACATATTTAAACCCTGCTGAGGTTACATTGATCTGTACTGCAGGATCATTCCTGAAATACCTCAAACGAGTAAACCAAAGCAAATCACACAGGAAATGACCACAGCTATCTAAGAATAAAAAGAAAAATCCGTTTTGTAGGAATGCTTCATCCCTAAGCTGCACTGAAAAAGACTTCAGAAGCTACAGCCTGCTAAAGCCCAAAGATGTCCAACGCAAATATTAGGCCTGGATTCTTTCATAGTTGGTAGCATCATCTTTGGGAATGGATGCTATAACTAAAGCACACACAGCTCAATGTTCAAGATATCAACTGACTCACACAGGAAATCAAAACATTTTGATTCCAAAAAACAGATGTAGATGAACGCAGTTGATGCTGCTTACGCCCACAGAGGCAGGTACTGACTCTTCCAGAAGTCACCGTATCAGTTGGTAATTTTTTCATCATCAGACAGGATATCACCCTTTGAAGGGCCGTATTTTTTTTCTAGAAGTGCTAAATGCTATAGAATGTGTTTTTGTATGCCTAACAGGCAAGTCATACTGGAAAACACAGGCCATTCTAAACATGAATCAGAATTGCATGTTGGATGTCACAAAAGTGAAAAATAGTTGCTTCTTCATTCAAGAAAACCATCAGCTCCTCTAGCTCCTTCCTGAATGAGAGTATAATCTGTGCCACAGTTTTCTGAGTAATTTTGGATGCTCGCTGGGTTTTGCGAGCAATTAAATTAGATATCAGTTGGTATAAGGATGGCCTAAGAAACACTTGCTGTATAAACAGTGATTAGGAAAGTATAGGAAAAAAAGATAACAGGGATTAATGTTACCACTCCATCGCCACAAAAAAAATATACACTAGCATAAGTCCACTGATAACTGTCCTAATTTGCGACAGTTAGCCCTGTACATGGGAATGTTTACTGGTCTCATTGTTAGGAGCTGAGAACAGACTAAATCACAGTTATGCTCTGCATCACATAATATATCACATTATTAAGAGCACGTATTTATATACAGTCTGCTCTCCTCTACGTCGCACGGAAGTCATTCCAAAAATGACATCCGAAGCTTTGCGATAGCTGGAATCTCTACTGAAATCTTGTGCCACTTGTGCCACTTCTTGGACGTAAAAGTCGTTCGTGCTAATTGAATCAATGTTGGCCTTTGGCTGGTTAATTTAGCTGGCAGGGGAAAACTGGAAGCCTCTTGTCAGCTGTTATTTGCACAAACAGCCAGATTGCCTTGTGCCCGTCAGTGCAGCGACCTGAGGAAGGGACTGTGTGCTCAGCAGCTTCTCTGCTTCCTCCAAGAGCATCGACAGGGCTGAGACGAAAGATTACCTGTCCCTGCAACCTGCCTCCCCTTTTCTCCTTACTATCACTGCTACAGCAACACCAAGGCTGGAAAAGCACTTTTGGTCAGCAGAGGGCAGCCGCCCAATGAAGAAAACAAGTCAGGAGCCTGAACTCAAGTCGGTCCCAAAAAAAGGCTTCAGAAGAGCAGATCGTATCTTTGTCTGTTCTGTGCTCTGTTAAAGTGGCCTTTACCCCGCTTCATATCTCCGAGCGCCCACACCCCCTGCATCTTCTGTGCTATGATCTCATTTCAGATATATGGGATAAAAAAGCCTTTTCATCAGTAAAACTGATGAACTAATAGAACTTTTCTGTTATCTCAGTTGTTATTAAAACCTAACTGCAATAAAATAATTCTGAGTTTATGTCTGACCACAGATGCTAAATAGCGCTCACGGATGAGGGCATTTACTGAAGCCTTCATAATTAATTATGTCTCCAAATGATACACTGTTACTGTCCCATTTCTAATAAAGTAGCTCTGGGCTACAGTAAACAGAATAAAGATGTCCTATTTATAACAGGGTGACAAATTATTGCACAGTATCTCTTTCTGTATAGATCTTTCCTCTTTAAAAAAAAATGGCTACACAGAAAAATGAAGGAATTAAAAAAAAATCCATCTAAATTTAAAGTCCTACCAGTTAACCCCTTCTTTCCCTTTTTCTTTAAAGCAAAGAAAACAAAACAGCTGAAAACTCTGTTAAAACACTCTTTAACTATGTTCGACTACTTACGTGTGGGTGACCGTGAAAGCTGTCCTCAACCACCACAAACCGGGTAAGAAGCAAAGCGCTTTCCTGACCGGCTATCACGAAACGATAGTGAATGAATTACGATGCGCTGTTCCACTGTAGTACGGCTCTTCTGTTCCTATTTAAACTGTGTCATAAACTCAATCCGCCCTTTGACTCAGTACAAAGCCCTGCTCTGATACCCAGCATAGGAACCCCCTAGAAAGCGGTTTGTACATAATCACACTTGCTAATGGCATTAAAATTGTTTCGAGAATGGAAACAGTGACAGCTAGCCTGGAGCTCGCCACACTGCTAAAACACTTTGCAGACACGTCTCCCCGCCTGCTACGGGCATTCAAGCCTCTAGATAGATGTCGGCGAAAGAGAACTGCCCCGTTCAGAACGGGCATGAATCATTTTCTAATAAGCAAGTAATTTTTCTGGAAGAGTTCGCTACTTCGGGGGCGGTTCTTGTAGTAGATGGTTAAGTGACAAGAAATCCTGGAACATACCGTATGAGAGCCTGCGAGCAGAACAGCCTTCGTTACATTTGACACGAAGAAAGTTTTTCCACAGCGCTGGAGGCCAGAATGATTAACATGGCAAAAAAGCGAGAGCGGCAGAGAGAGGAAAACCTGCCTCAGACCAAACCACGGAGGTGAACCGAATTACTGCTACTGCTGTGCCAAAATACCTCAGCCGCTTTTCTTAGTCACAGAACGTGTTAAAACACAGCAGAAATAACTTGAGTTGTGCTTTAGGAATTACAGAAGCCTTGCTCCCATTAAAATCTAACACATATTGGGCTGCCTGGGATGCTCGGAGGGGGACAAAGGTTTCCCCACCTTATCCTCTAGACTCAGGGTTACATGCACAGATGTATCAGAAAACCCGAAACAGACCTCGATGCCGGCAGGCCGCGGGGAGCTGCCCACAGGCTCGGTGGGTGTTTTTACGCGTGCATGAGAGCGGCGCAAAATAAGGAAAGGGACCGTGCTCCGTGTTTACCGATAAGCCCGGTATTTACAGAATATCCTTCAGCCCCCTTGCACCCCTCCCGTCCTGCCCCCTTCCCTCTCCCGGCACGCGAAGGGGCTCTGCTTTCGTCGCCCCCGAGCAAACGGACTTACCCGGGCCACTCACGCGCAACCCGAACAAACCAATAAGGCAAATAACAAGTAAGTTACCTAAGG